GGCGGCCCCGGCGGGGAGCCCCGGCCGAGCCGGACCGGTCCTGGGCGGGCAGGGTGCCCTTGGGCTCCAGTCATGAGCAAGCGACCAGGGACGAGCTCCCTGTACGTGGTCAGGGCGCTCCGAGTCCGGCTCTGACTGCGGCTGAGGAGAGGCCGTTAAAATAGGCGGGTATGGGTGAAGATAAAGGCTGCTGAATGTTTCGGTTGAGGTTTTGTTCGTTGTAGGGGCCGCTGGCCGGTACCTGTCACTCAGTGAGCCTAGGTCTCGAGGGGCCGGTCGCTCAGAGTAAAGTTTCTGAGCCTGAGCCGGCGTGAGTGCACTGTGTTGGGTTGTCACGTTAACTTACCGGTTCAGGTAAGCGTTGACTTGTCAACCCAAACCTTGCTCTGTGCCGCAATGTAGATGTGTGAAAAAACCGCACAGGGATAGCGATGGGTGAGATTAAATGCTTGGTTGTGTCTAATTCACTGGTAAAATGTAATTGATGGAAAAAAGAAAATATTGGAAGTAAAAGCGTAAGTGAAATTTGTAGCATATGAGCCAGACTGTAATATGTTTTTGGTTTCTTTATGTGATAAAACATCTGGGGGATTACCAAGCCTTTGAAATTATCTAAAATGAATTTTTCTGCCTACTGTTGCAATAACCTAGACTGACGCTTGTTTACAAGGGGTAGACTAGAAGCTTGTTTACTAGGTGTAGTGATCTTTCTAATCTAAATACTGTGGTTTAGAAGCTCTTTTTTTAAAAAAAGTTGTAGATTGTAGTATTGATAAACATCCCATAAAATCATGAATGTTGTAGCTAGCAGTGCTTTTACCTAAAATATTTCACTTCAGGTCTGTGAAAGTCAATTGGAGTAGTGTTAGAAAGATGGCTGTGAAAGGTGGTGGCACATACAAAATACAAATATAATCACTTGAAACAATGTTTTGTAAGTTAATGTTGGTTCCAAGTAGGTTTATTCATAAACTTTAAGGAAAATGTACTCAGAACATAAGATTTATTTGTCTTATTCCCCCCAATTTGTCTTGGGGGGAAAAAAAAAGCCACAAATTTCAAGTATTTGTTTAGAATATTGGCATTTACTAATACTTGCTTTAATGTGTAAATAGATTGCAAGGGCTGATCGGTGTCAGCGGCCTTTCCTGAACTCTCAAGCCATGCAGCTTCTGTGCAGCTACTGGGTACTTGAATAACTCTTGAAATTGTGTTAGGGGATTGTGACACTTCATACCTGTCTGGCAGCAGAGGTTATTCAGCAGCATTTAGTAAACTGAAAGTGAAGTTCAGAGGTGGAGGTTTAGTGATGTTCCGCAGACCTACCTTCAGTATAGAGAAGTGTTCTTCCTTTCACTCCAACAGCTACTTGAATTTTTCTGTCTCAGATATGTGAGCGCAGTCTGCTCTAATTAGGGGAGACTGCAGCGTTAGAGTGAGCGCAGAATTGTCTTCGGTGTTATCATCATGACAACTTGGATTCCCTCAAATACACAAGTTTTTAAAACTGCAATTATGAGTAAAAGTGTAGCTTATTGTTCCTTAATTTCTGTGTATATCGGTGGGCTGTTTTATAATCAATACTTAAATGTTCTTTTTTTTTTAACCAAAAATAATGACAAGCAAAAACCTGTTTCTGAAAAAGTCTCACTTGCCTAAATTGCTAGTTTTTGAGACAGCCCTGGATATCAGGAAGAGGGGATCATTTTACATGGAATTTGGTTCTGGATTTCCTAAGATTGCTTTTGCTCGATGTGTTGATATTTCAGCTTTCTACTAAAGGATTTGCTTCTGATGCAGTATATTTAGATAAAGTAGAATGGTCACTGAGCAAAATTCTTATTCCTGAACCCAGGAAGCCCCATGTATAATGTTAAACTTTGTCTGAACACAATATTCTGTGTGAAGTTTTAGTCTTCATTTCTGTGTAAGAAAGACCATGTATTTCGAAATGCCTCCTTTCCTGAAGGAAGCACTTTGTGCATTTCAGCTTTGTTTCTCTTGGTGATGTGTTTAACAAGCCTTGTGTACTATGCCACCAAGGGTGAGAAGCTGAATGTTAGGGTTTGCTCAGGAGGACTTTTTTGGTGGTGTTCCAGGACATAATGTAGTTATCCAAGTTTCTTACTTTCTTGCTTTTGAAAGAAATCATGATGTGTTATGATATTGGCAAAATAATTAATTCTTTCTCATGACCATGGCTCTTAATGTTATTTTCTTTGCCTAGACCATGACAAAATGTTTAAGATGAGTGAAAAGATCTTACTCCTGTGTGTTGGGGAGGCTGGAGACACTGTACAGTTTGCAGAATACATCCAGAAAAATGTTCAGCTCTACAAAATGAGAAATGGTGAGTGAAGGAGAACAGTTACTCACTGTTTGGTTTGGAAGCAGAGTTAATGATAGGTATAGTTTACAGTTGAACGTTGGTGGAAAGTGCTGTTCTCAAAGCTTCTCTAGCTTTAAGGATTTCTGCATTTTTAGTGTCAAGCAAAGGTGATAGTGAAGGCAGGATGAAGAAACGGAGATTGGACTATATAGTACAAACCAAGAGGTTTATCCGAAGCCCAGCTAACCTATTTGAAATATAAATGACACAGTAATAGGTTTGTTAGTAAAATATTTCTCTTAATATGTCCATTGTGTGACAACTGTTACCAGTTTTCCTGATACACCAGACTGAAAAACTCAGGCTAAATGCCCATAGTATTTTAATTTTTTGAAGCTATGCGTTTTAATGGTCTATACAGATATGAGCTACCTGGATTTTGAGGGCCCTTTTTATGCCTGTAGCTTTCAGAATAAACTGGAATTAGACAAATGACACTTTGTCATTAAAGAATATCTTGTTATTTCAAAATAGGAATGGAAAGTCAGGAAGTGAAACATGAATGTGGATTTGTACCGTTATCAAATACACACATTTCTTCTCCAGGTTATGAATTGTCTCCTACTGCAGCTGCAAACTTTACACGACGAAACCTAGCTGACTATCTTCGGAGTCGAGTGAGTAATAGCTGAAAGATTTTGGCAAAGGCTTACAGGGGAAAATTTCCATTTTCAAGTAATGGAATCTGATAAAAAAGGTGGCGGCTTCTGTCTTTAGTGATGAATTCACTTTGCTGAAAGGATGTTGTTGTGGTTTAACCCCAGCCAGCAACTAAGCACCCCACAGCCGCTCGCTCACTCCCCCTCGGTGGGATGGGGGAGAGAATCAGAAGAGTAAAAGTGAGAAGACTGGTGGGTTGAGATAAAGGCAGTTTAATAGGTAAAGCAAAAGCCGTACACAAAAACAAAGCAAAACAAGGAATTCATTCACTCCTTCCCATGGGCAGGCAGGTGTTCAGCCATCTCCAGGAAAGCAGGGCTCCATCACGCATAATGGTGACTTGGGAAGACAAACGCCATCGCTCCGAACGTCCCCCCCTTCCTTCTTCT